ATGTCAGAAACATTCATCATTGTTATGAGGCAATAATCAGAAGATTTTGTATGACTTTCACTAACAAGTAGGGAATAGAAAACAATGATTAAGATAAAAGATAATTAGATTAACATGACAATAAAAGCTTTCAGGTGAGAAACTTAACAATATTCAGAAAATTTTACTGTGTCCAGAATTCCCTTTAAGAGAAAACTTAATTTGTGATGAAATTCTGAATGTAGTAATTTAAGGAAGATCAAATTAAAAGTGTAAATTTAATAGGGATAAATATCTAAAATCCTTCTAATCTATTTCCTCTTATAACATTTCAACTGAACTGTAACTTGTAAAAACATTAATAACAGCATAAACAAGGAATGCTACATAACAAAAATAGAATTTAAATAAAATATTTAAAAAAGAGAAAGTTCAAATTTGAAAAAAATTAATCAAATCTCAAAAACATCTACCATTTATCAGAGCCTTTATTTTATCAAATTTACATCAAACAACAAATTTGATTTTCTGTACAGTAAAAGTTTTGGTTTCAAATTTTATACTTATTTTATTCTTCAATAACTAGCAAAATTTAGCATGAGCTTATAGAAATGAGATACACAAATTCAGAGCTAACAAATTTAAATGAGCAACTGAATGTAAACAATCTGGATCATTTTTTTTTCCTGGTTTTTATCTTTTCTGCCAGCATTTCCTGAGATTCTTTGAATCCAATTGACACTATTATTGTTATCTTTGTCATAAGGCACTTACACATTTAAATCAGAAAATGTTTCTGGCAATTTCTTTATGGTTGCTTGTAATTTCTTTTCCTAAATTTTGATAAGAGAGAAGGATATAAAATTAAAAGTTAAGCAAAAGCCATCCCCACTTAATCTGTACAGATTTAATCAATACAACTGAGTAATCTTTGAATCCACATCCAATATCAATGGAGGACTGTGTAATATAATGAATCACTGAAAATTATCTTGGCATCGAACAACTCATTAAATGCTAGTAGCTTTGAAAGATTTGCTTTTTTATTTTTTTTAAAACTGAAATCACTGATTTTCATATTTAATAATCATCCTGGCAAATTGCTGCTTACTTAAAATTGATTGTAACAGTAAGATCAATCTAAACACTATGATTCCAAACTTAGGTTTTCCTAGATTTGCAAATATTAAGTCTGTATTATATTTTGCAGGTTTAATGAGCCAAGCTGAAAATATAAGATTCAGCATGAAAAATTTGCAACAAATGAATTTTCTTTGTTATGAACATAATCTCCTCAATTTGTTAGAACAAGTTGTGTCTTAACTATCAGACTGGATTGATAAGGTTCTTGAAAATCTGGGGCATTATTAATGGACAGAGCCCAGTTAGATACTTCATAATAATAATTGCATATTTACAATATTTTTTTTTAAAATAAAAGCAAAAAACAATTATTAGTTTGTTTCTGAATAGATGTTTGAAAAATCATTTATGCAAATGGAGTTCTAAATGAAAATTTTGGAAATCACTGGTTAAAATCAAGAATGTACTCAAAATCTGATTTTAGAATGTAAACTTTAGATGAGGTTAATAGATTAATAGTTAATATGGACTGGCAGAATGCATGTACCTATGAGAAAAGTTTTCAATAAATAGAACATATGAGAGAGAGAAGATGGAGAAAATATAAATGTTTTAGCTATAGCATTTTTAATGACAGGAATAACCTTATAAAGTCATTCATTACAAAATCAAGACAATGTAAATTTACAAAACTGTAATGATTTATAGAATAAAAATGAAGTGTTATATAGTCATAAAAACTAATTAGATTTTATCTAAACTATGAAATCTTTATGATGAAAGGTTTTCAAATCTATAGCAAGTAAGTTTCTTCAAAAAAGTGAGTTGCATTACTATATATTGTTATATTTGTGAGCCCTTCACCCGAGGAAGCATTTATCATCTAATGAAAAAGGCTGCAAATGGTGTTCAGGCACTATTTATTTAAATATGGAAAGTGTTGAAAGCAACCATGAAGTGTAGAGGGGAAAAGTTAACCTCAAAAGAGGCAGAAATACTGAACGGCAGTGGAATTTCAATAAGAAATTTAGACTAGTTAGTGGTTAGAGAGAAACTAGTTATAAAAATGGGAAATTTATGACGTGAATAATAATTTAAGCTGGGGGATATTTCAGTAAAATCAGATGACAGCATGAAAATAGATAAGAATATTGAAAATATAATAGATAACATATTAAAATTCTCAAATAAATAATAAATGTTCTCTTAATAGACATAAGATTAGACATATGTACAAAGATGAATGTTTAGAAAAAGTAGATGAGAATATTTTAACACCTACAGTAAAGAAAGGAAATTGAAAAAAAATTTGCTTACTGAAATTTATTTTTGCTAATCAGTATGAAACAGATCAAATCTACAACTTATTTTTTTGAGATCATTTAAATTTGCCAGCAAATTAAAAAAATGTTTAAGAACTATTTTTTTAGAATAGAATTTTTGGGAGACATTTTAAATATAACAATTGACTACAATACTCTTGTTATGTATATTTATTTCCTGCAAAAGCAAATTTATTTTCTGTAACACATGATTGAGGTAAACACTTGGAATGAGTCAGCATTTAGCTCTATTAAAACAAAGTGTATCAATCAAGATTAAACAATAGTGACATAAGATGCCATATCACATTAAACAGACATAATAATAATTGCTGTTCATGGTTTCATTGAAAGGCTATTTTTCTATTCTTATTAGTGTTATTGATAATTTGTAATAAAAATGCTTTAAGTTACCTATTTAGAGAAAAGCATGGTTTACTAAATTTTCTTAAAAAAAAAAAAAAAGCCCGTCAGTCTGAATGATGTAATTTATCTATAGATTTTATTTCACGGTTCTTTTCACCATCAAAATGCTAAATATAGCTTTAAACTTTTACTTAAAATAGCTGAAAGCAGTTTAAATTGACCACATAAAGAATAACAAATAGTTTAAAGATGCAGATATACATTTTTATAAAAGAATTGCCAAAATAATAAATGATAAATTTAGTTTCCTCCAATATTTTAAACATTTTCTACACTTCAACTGTATATAAAAACCTCAAATGATTTCTAAAAAAAAAAAACAACAAAATAAAATTGTGCCGAAATAATTTTACTTTTTAAAACTTTCTTAAAATGAAGTTTTAATGATTGTTTTTTTTATCATTTCTATTGAGAAATGTTTTTTTAAAAATGGCTGACCAAAGGGAGAGCAGCCTCAAGCATGCATATAAATAGATATACATCACCCAGCTTGTCAACAACAACAACAACAACAACAACTGGTACCATAATACAATATTTGGGAATGCATACAATGGAAATAAATCAGAAAAAAAAAAAACAAAACAAAAATAACAGAAAAATAGAAAAAAAAAATGGAAAAGCTTCTTTTTTTTTCTCTCTCTCTGGTGGCAGTTTCACAAGAATATGTTACAACAATGTTATCAGTAGTAACCTTAGCAACAGCATCTCTAAGTTTTGTTAGGAGAGTAAAATTGACATGACAATCATGAAAAAAGCCAAGGATTCCCAGTTCTGACATTTGATAAGTTATTAATTCAAACATGTTTAAATTTTAATTAGTAATTCAGAATAAATTTGGAACAAGTCGTTCTCTGATATTTGGCAAATTCATTATTCATATTTAAAAATTCTCCTTTGAATTATAACTTATAAAATTTTAATTAGGAAATATCTGATCAGCAAGTAAAATTGTATGGAGCTCAGCTGAGAGATGCAAACCCAAATACAACAGATATCTGTTCGTTTTAATAGTATTTAATATGTGAATATTTTATATAATCATACTTAATGAAGTAGAGTAAACAGACCGACTCTCCACTTTATGTTCTTTCATCATCATAATAATAATAATAATAATAATAGTAGTAGTAGTAGTAAAAATAAGAAGAATGATATGCTAATTTATGGGGGGATTTTTTTTTTTTTACCATATGTAAAAGTTTAAGTTTCATAATCAGTTCACAATCAATAAACTTCTAAACTAATTTCAAGACTTCTGAACTAATTGCCAGTAAGAATTGGATGAAGTTATTTAAAATTTGAGGCTATTTAAATGCTTATGAATTTATTACTTTTTAGAAATGTATGACTTCAAAATATTACATGTTCATTTTGCGCAAGACCCATTTAAAGAGAATTTATGAAGCAGAAGGACATTTTCACATTTAAAATTTAATATTTTGCTTCCTTTACTTTCATGAAAGAAAATTTTAAATTATAGCAGAACTCAAGGTTGAGCATACAAAAATCTGTACAGAATGGTTTGATGGTGCATTCAGAAAAATACAGCCATGTAGATCACTAGCAAAATATATATATATATATATATATATATATATATATATATATGTGTGTGTGTGTATGACCAGAATTATTGATATGACCAAAAGAAATAACTATAATTATTTTCATGTTGCACTGCTTTCTTTCAGACTATTGGTGTTTTTTTGTTTTGTTTTTTCTTTTTAAATATATGTGTATATTTTAAGCCACCATAAACTTTTTGTTATTTTTATTTTAACATTTTTAAATTTTAAGAAGAATTAAATTAGTTTTAAATATTGTTTTCAAAAAACGAAAGAAAATATTAAATTTATCACAATTAAAAAAAGACCTGAGATGACCAAACCAACAGCTAATGGGACAGAATATTTGTTGTTATTGTTGCTGTGGCTATAATAATAAAATAATAAATAAAGTGCAGTTGTTGTAGCCTATAAAATAATAGTAGGCAATAGCTAGGCAAGGGGATGTAGATGACAACTCCTGCTGCTGCAACAAATAGGTCATAATGCTGAGAGCCTCCTTGGTGGTCAGAGGAAGAAGGAAAAGTAAATGGGAAGTTAGAGTGTAGCAATGGTGACATACACAGCGGTGGTTGCAGTGATGGTGGTAGGAAACACAAATAAAAGATCTAATAGTGAAAGGTCAGAGGTTGCCAAGCACAAAATCATGGATCACTCGTGGAGCATTTTCATCAAAACCAGCAATATCCAGCATGCCATTGTCAGAAGGATCAGCAAACCGCAGTCGGTTAGTTGACATGGCACAGTTGATATATCTGAAAGAAAAGAAAAATTAAATATAAAGAGTGGAATCAGAACATCTAATTCTGAAGAATTTTGACAACAAAAACACAAAATTCATAATTTTACCCTCCAACATTATCAACAAAATTTGAAAATAAATTAGTTATCTCTAACATCTTTACCAACACCTCCAAGACAATTGGAGATATAGTTAGGAAAAAATATATCCAACACCACATCAAATGCAGGGATGAAATAAAAATCCTACAATGTAGGAAAAGTTACATTGACGAAACATCTAGGAATCTAAAAGCCCACATCTATGAACATAACAGATACTTTTAAACTCACTCATAATACACAGGAACAAAACTGGCCATAACTTTGATTTTATAAATGCCACACTAATTGAGAAAGAACATAATACTTTTTGTAGGAAATAATTTGATGAAGTTCTGGTAAATATGTTATGGTCTATAAACAAATGTCAAACATTTCATTATATCACCAGCTTTTATAAAATCCACACTTAAAGAATCTAATATGTCTACCTACCACAACTACAAGTGGTGTTACCTAAATATTTTACCCTTACACAAAACATCCCTAAATCTACATGTTGACACCTACCATACATAAGTAAAAATGCCAACTAGACACACACATGCACACAAAAACAAATATACATTATCATCTAAATCCCACGTAGACAAACTAGCATTATGATACACTTACACACATGAATTATATACAAACACTGCTTAATAAGAAAGATGCACATTAAGACTGCTTAACCAACAAAAAATAAACAACACAGAAATTAAAAATACCAGATTTTTTTTTTCTCCTCCGTATTTTATTCTTTGATGAAGCTTTATTAAAAGCGAAACTTTTAGATTGATAAACGTTTCCTATTTGTTCCTAATCCTATCATTCTGTTGGATTATAATCCATATTTGATCCTAATTCAATCTATTAGTTTTAATTTGTTGCAAAGATAGAAACTGAAATGAATAAAAATAGTAGTTTAGTTTAGGATCTAGTTGATTAAGCCTTGAACCATGAAATGTGTACCCTTCATAGTTGAAGAGTACAAGGCTTATGGTTCAAAATTTAGTGGCATGAAGATGAACTATATAGCCACAAATGCAAGTAAGTGTCAAACTACTGAGCTATTACAAATGTTACAGATGCCACACCTAAAAATACAGTATTTAAGATTGTTAGCCTAGTTAACAAAATGTGAAGGTCAAAAAGTCTGACAAGTGTGTAAATGAATCACGAGACACAGTGGCAAAGTCAAGTAAGAGAAAAATGAGTTACCTTTATATACTCTATCAGTCTACTAAAAGACGACTAAAAAAAATGCTTTGTGAAAGCAGCAAACTTGAGAAACAGACAATTATTAAATATCAACAAAGGTCAGGAGTCAAGGCCGTACCTATATAGGTATGGCCTTGTCATGAGCTGAAAGGGTCAGGTTATCAGTTAGACAACAAAGAGTATATCCAATGAATTTACTTAGCCTCCGGGAGATTCATATCCTTCCTGTACTGCTTCAGAGCCTCTGCAGGGGAAATGTCACTTATACATTCACGGCAATCAGTAAGCACAAGGAACACATCAACTGGCAACTTGTTTGAAATGGCCCATTTTATTGGTAATGACAAATCACGAGCATTGTAGGGCAACTGGAAAAGATTTAACAATGGCATCACTTTGTAAATTTAGATAAGCTTCACAATATTCAAGGCAAAGATTTATATGCTCAACAATATGAATTGAGAAATACAAATTTGTGATGTTAAATGTCCTTTATTTAAGATTAATCAATATTTGTTATAAAACTAATAGTCATTGAAGAGAAAATTTTAAAATATTCTTAAGGGAATTAAAATACTTGAAGTTTGAGATTATCATTGTTTTCTAATCCATCAAAGGATATTTCATAACGATTAATAAATATCTGTCCAGATTACATAGACAAGAAAATAACTAGGTAAATTGAGTTGAAATTTGCTACATACTGCTTTTTGACTCCAGGAGTGTGATAAGCATACTAGAATAATTCTAAACTGGACTTATTTTCCCTTTTATTTTACTTGTCCAACATAAAATTTGAAAATATTTTTACAGCATAGCAAAAAAAAAAAAAATGAATTAAAATAAAGTAACTGATAAAATACGAAGGGGATGTTGAAAAGTATTCTGCCTGATAAACAGCAGATATTTGGGAGGTGGGAGGGTCTTCATAGTTAGGCTGAGAATTTTCCAGCACCTCCTCATAAATTTGTAATTGCCTTTTTCAAGCTCTAGCAATATTCCTCTTTTGAGAATTCATAAATTTTTAACCTAAAGATATAAAATGAAATCATAAATTTATATAAGAAAAAATAATAATTAATACTTAATTTTTTAATGAAAGAATTGTGGCTGATGCTTGCTAATAACTAAATCTTTTATATTTGTTTTTATTGTATTAGGTTGGTGCAAAAACAATGTCGTTTTTTGACGTTAAGTTGAACGTCAAAAAACGACATTATTTTTGCACCAACCTAATTCTTGGAAACAAAGAACTCTTTCTTCCACAATTCTGCAAATTTCTCTCTTAGTGTCATATTTTAATTGCAATAGCTCCACTTCAAATATATTAGCATTAAATAGAGTTTATATTCAAACATCCCCTTTTAGATTGGTAAAATCTCAAAAAACATTTGCCATGTTTGAATGCATCAAGATGATGGCTATATTTTTTCAATTCATTAATAGTAAGATCATTTTTTGATCGAAAATATGAAATTCTTGATTCATAATTATTTTTTGCATTAGATTTGATTTTGTTAGTTGCATTTATTACAATATTCAAAGATAAATGCAAACTAGAACTTGTTTGTTTTGCAACAAGACACTGCCAATGAATCAAGTAATGAACACAAAATTTTGTAAATTTCTTACTTTAAACATATTGAAAAGCTCTGGTTGTTGGTGTGCCATTTGTTGCACAAGAAACATTATTTGTCAATGGTATGTTATGTTTTTCAAAGTAACTTGAAAAGAAAGATGCCTTTTATATCAATGGCTAAAGTATTGGTAAAAACATTTCAGTTTGCACTGTTTTTCATCAAATTAACAAACCAAAGTGTTGTTATCCAAGACTATTGATTCATCAACTTGCAATGAAAATTCACTTTTTTGAAGTGAAGATATAAAGTTGCTTTTCAATATCAAATACAATTATGACAATGGATAAAAGTGGTTGAAATATAATGTACATTTAAAGTTGTTTAAAGGGCTGTGAGCCATTGAAATGATTTTTATCTACTGTTAAACAGAAAGGCTTATTTCGGAGACGTCCATGTTTTTGTGGTCCAGGATGTGAATGAGCAGAAATGGACTTCATTCTATTTATAGAAAATATATAGACATTTAAAGTTTTATTTTTGTTCAGTTTTAATAAACTATTAATGGGATTTTGAATTTGAACTTTTTTTGGCATTCTATTTTTACTTTTATAAATTTGTTATATACATAAGCTAGTTGTAAAAAAACAAAACAGGTTTCTCTTTGTTCTAAATTATTTATGTTGTTCATAGTATAATGTAATGCATTAAAAATTGTAGTTTAGTACAGTAAAACATTTTGTAAAAAAATTAAATTTAAAGTTGTTGATTCATTGATTCCTACAATGTATCTGTAGATCCATATACTGGTATGAAAGGGAATATAATAGCCATACATATAGTTTCATTAAGTGTGTAATAAGAAAATATAATTCCTAAAATGCTGACTACATCATATTAATTTCAAAGTCAAAAGTAAGTTACTCAGATATTTATAAACTGCTTGTGTATATGAATGGAATGGAATGGCGTCTCGCGGTCTTTGACGGCGCACGCCTCCTGTCGAACTCTCTGCATTAGCAGAGAGGAACCCGGACGAGGCTTTGCCAAAGGGCAAGGTTTCGTCCGAGGAGGTAGACAGGGCCTGAACCCGTCTAATCGGCTTCAAAGGCTATTTTTTTGGCCAAGCCTACGGGCTCGGAGAAACCCACAATAAAACCGGCCTTGTGCCATATTCGTTTCTCGTGGGTGAAATGATAAATACCGAATGGAATGTATATTAAATACAAAATCTATTTTACTAAGCAACAAAACTCCTGCCATACTACCATGCCCATGAAATTCAACTATTCAAATGATTTCATTTTCCAAGAAAATTACCCATGGTGAAAATTGTACAAATTTTACTAGTCACCAATGGTGATTATATTGTCATATAATGTAAGATAAACAAAATAAAGAGAGTAACTAAGGGATAATTATTTTACAAAAAATATTTTACCATACATGTAAACAAAAATTGAAAATTAATAAATTTACAAATACTCATTATGATAAAAAAGCATTTAGAATCAGTCTTAATGATCTGTGTAAAATATATATATATATATATATATATATATATATATATAAACAGTTTTACGTATAACTCTCTATGATATTTTTATTACTAACAAATACTGATGACTTTAAAATTATTTCAAAGTCATAAAAGTAAAGTAAAATATACACTCTTTGGCAGGATCTGAACACATATTTTTCAGTAATAAGATTTTTCAAATATACAGGCCAGTCGATGAAAAGGAATATACTGCTTAATAAATAACTGGAGTGTCTACTCAAAAATGGGCATTCACTAAGATTAAAAATAAAAATGTTTAACGTTTTATATATCTTAAGAGAAAGAATAGATGAATTTAGGATCCACAGTTCTTAGCATTTACTTTTTAAAAAATGCCCAATACAAACGTAAAGCAAAATATAATATTATTAAAATATTTTTATTATAATAGATTACAATAAACACATTTTACATCGCTACACAAAAACTTTCATGTTTCAGAACTTTAATCATTCCTCATCGGTTGATGGTAGATAACATATAAAAATTATTTATTTGGAAAATTTGAAAACAAATCATTATCTCTTATGAAAGTTAAAAAGGGGTGGGGGGAAGCCTAATGTCAGAATTAAAACATATACTTGTGGGCATGTCTGGATTAACCAATTAGAAGTCAGGTCTATGTTAAAATAGAAAAAGGAAAAATAAGATCAGAGGGTGGAGAGAGGTGGATTATAAATTCATGTCTTCATACACTGACACTCTAGACATATCAGTGTTGAACATAATGTAGCAAAATCCAAAGTTCAGATTTAGTGAAGTAGACATAGAGTATCCTTGAACAAAAAAAATATTTTTAAGAATTTTTAAAAGTTTTTTTTATATTATGGAAGCTTCTTAAAGGGACTAAATAGATAAAGTTAAAAGAAAATTTTTTTTTTGTGGAACTTTAATATATGATGCTAATTATATTGAATGGGCAGTAAAAACAGGTCAATATTAACGTTGAAAAAAAATCCAATAAAAATTGAGTAGTGATTATATACTTATGAAATAATGGTTATGTAATTGTAATGCATACAATATTTATGAAAAACTCTTAACTATATTTTAATGTAAAATTTAGACAATGCATAAAACTGTTAATTCATTTCTTTGGTTTAGCAGAACTTTATTTTTAGGAAACTTTATAATATGCAGCTTTTCTCATAAACACAAGGGACATGGGTCCTATAAGGATTTACAGATTCTCATTTTTTTTTTTAATATTTTCCATTTAACCTTAGGAGTTTTACTAATTTCTTTTAAGTGCCAAAATATTTTAATAATATATATATATATATATATATATATATATATATATATATATATATATATATATATATATATATATAAAAAAAAAGTTTTAAAATTTATCTTCTCCACTTATCACTTTTATTTTCTTTTATTTACTATTAATGCGTGATTTCTTAATATTAAGCACTTCAGTGATACACTGGTCAACTGATTTTTATTTTTATTTTTTTTTAAACAATCTTTGTTAATATTATCATTATCATCATTTAAACTTATTTATTGGAATTTAAAATGAAAACATCTGTAGCAAAAAGACAACTTGAAAATGCAGTTGTTTGAGTAAGTTATTTAAATCTTATTAGTCACATGCAACACACAAATACTCATGTTCAATAATTCTTAATAATTTAAAACAGTTCCACCCATGGTGTACTATACTCTAATATAGAACACCATGGTTCCATAACAAAGATTTAATTTTTTTTCATCCACTGTTTATCTCTTTATCTTTGTTGTATAATAGAACTAAGTTGATAAAAGAGACTATTTGATATCATACGATCATCACACATTATTATCAATGAAATGTATGACTGTTGCCAAAATTTCAACCTCCTAAGTTAGTTTGATTTGCCTATATTACTTACCATTCCTCCATAAGATACAGAGAAACCAGCAATTTGATCACAAATTTCAGAAATTTGCATATCTGCACTGAGTTTTAAGTTCAGTGCACCAGTTGGCAGGAGAAGCAAAAGTTGAAAGTGTTCTTCTTTACGAGAAATCAACATTGACATGAGGGCAGCAGCCAGAGTGGTGGATATTACAGGAGCACCCCGCACTGCACAGCGGAACATATTGTCACCAACCTTCACAGCAATTAAATACCGCTTACCAGTACGAGGCACATTCTAAAGAAATAAACATAATTTCATAAAGGAAACAAAAATATATGTTGGATGAAAGAAAGAGAAATGATTGTTTTAATGCATATATTTTAAGAAATCTAGCAGTGACTATTGGGTTGACTTTTTCTGATTATTTATATAATTAATGGATAATTAAAGAGGAATGTAAAAATAGTGAAGTTATAACTATTTCGACATTTTCCTTTGTCAGTTTATATAATAAAATTAATAAGAGTAGAATTAGATATTGTTCATAAAGATGTAGAAATATAGTCGAGTACTAATGTTTTTTGTACTATGACTAGTTGTGAATTGGACTTGATAGTTTGAATGATGTGAGGAAATTAAAAACTTGCCTGAACTTATAATGAAATGTTTTTTTTTGAAAACATTTACAGAATGTCATGTTATTTAAACTTTTCACAATTTGGTATGAACTTTGCACAACCAAAGAACTTACAAGATATGCAATATTAAAAAAAAAAAAAAATCATGAAAAACTGAAATAAAATTTTTAAATAACTTGATTGAAAACTCATAGTTTCGTGTAGAAGGTCTGTTAAGAAAGCATCCAGCCATTTAATAGTAACAGAAAAATAGTTTATCTAGAACAATAGTGATACCTTAGTTTTACTTTAAGATAGTCTTCTTGAAACCACTTATTCTAGTGTCCGTTCTATGTTTTAAAACAGTTTACAAAATCCTCTTTCAAGATTGTCATCAACAGCCCCATTATATTCTCCTTAATTTTTATTTGTGGTCTGAAATCTTCCACACAACAATGATTTTAGCTTTGGGAAACATCAGAGACTGCAGGAGCCAAATCTAGATTGTAGGTGGGGTGGTGACATACCTGGGTGAGGTGATGTTTTGCCAAAAATCCTACACAAGCCATGAAAGAGAAAGAGATACATAGTCATAATGAATTCAATGGCCACACAGTATATATATATATATATATATATATATATATAGATAGATAGATAGATAGATAGGTGTTTTACTGCTGACTGAATAAGTCCCACAGGAGAGTGTCTGCTTATGCATGTGCAATAAGGTCCCCTCTAATTAGCTGTCAAGTGACATTAAAGGCAAACAACTGGTTCTCGAGATATTCAAAATTGTTAAATATTTTCCAAAAAGATGTTTGTGAATCAGTGGGTATGTATAAATATTCTCTCTAAATAAATGTCAGTTCAGAGATGAACCTAATCAGTTTTTCCTTTTTTTATACAGTAAATAATAACATAGCTCAGCCACAAAAATAATTTCACATTCAACAAAATGAAAAAATGATTTACTTAAAATTGGTGAGTTCATGATTACATTATTCAATATATTTAATGCACTTATTCAGATATTTATAAGGCTACTATCCTCTTTCCCAACAAATATTAGTTTCTAGAATAAGACAAATCCTAACATTTATTCAATAGTAGTTATTTTTAAAATTTAAATAATATTTCAGATAAAGTAAACATAAGTTTCTTATAACATTGTGATAGCAATTGAATTTGGAAAGAAATGAAAATAACACACAACTAAGACAATTCATTTGAAAACTATTAATGACAAAATACCAATGACTGCTTCAAAACAAGACAGTATCTTTTTTTTAACATGTTAATAAATTATGTTTCAAGATCACTAAGATACACATAACTAATAATCAAAGATACTTAAGCAACATCTGATTCTACAACTAGTCTTTTTTTTTTTTAAATATACATATTAAGATATATAATCTGCTAAAATAGACAAAGCCATATACTTTTCTGTTATTAGCCCCAAAATCTAATCCTTGTTCTATATTTGGAAAGTGCCATAAAAATATGATAACATAAAAAATGGTTTTGCAAGGAGAATAAATTAAAATGGTGGAACTTATAGAGTTTAAAGAAAAAATGTCAACTTATTACAAAGCTATTTCTGAAAACACATTTGTAAGAAATTCAAATAATTAAGAACTAAAGTCAAAGAGGGTGGTTATGTTGAAATCCTGTAATAGTGAATAAAACAACTAAAACATACAAACTTCACTCAACTAACTCAGCCACCACCAAACAAAATTACAATGCCCTCGTGGGAGGGAATCTTTTACAATAACAGCATGCAATGCAAGAGCATTTTGGCCAATGAGGTAAGTTACCATTTTCTTCTGTATACTCCCCACTTATCTCATGATTCCATATATATGGCAATTTGGTGTGAGCCTTTTAATTCTGGTCCTTTGTTGTAGGGAGACAGTCACCTCTTCTTTAGAGGAATCATTTTCCTAGAAGTCATCATGCACATCTGGCATACACGTCCTGAGTTGTCTCCATTGGAAGAGTTATTGGACACATCAAATGCAATTACTTTGTTGCTCTCTGATGTGATGGAACCCATAATGGGGTAAATATTTTTCTTTTGGTTCAGGATACCATTAATAAAAATTGTGTGTCAGATGATACAAGTGACACAATTTGCCAGAATATCAACTTTATGCAGTGAGGAGTTTTTACAATAACAGCAACACATGGATGTTTCAACCACAGGTACATCACCATATTTTGTACAAATCCAGAATTATAAATATTCAGCACACTTATTTGAATGGAAAGCAATATGTTTATAGAAATAGTCTTTTTTTTCTTATAGACCAAACAGTAATCTGTCTATATTTCTGAGATGAGGTATTATGTACACTATTTACATTATTTGGACTATTGTCCTCATCTTTGTAGCCATATTTATCACAACGTTTCAGCCCATCAGTATCTGTCTATATTTCTGAGACGAGGTATTATGTACACTATTTAGATTATTCGGACTATTGTCCTCATATTTGTTGCCATGTTTGTCACAACGTTTCAGCCTTTCAGTATCTGTCTATATTTCTGAGATGAGGTATTATGTACACTATTTACATTATTTGGACTATTGTCCCCATCTTTATCGCCATATTTATTACAACGTTTCAGCTTTTGTATGCTCCGGCTTTCTTCAGGTGGTTGGAATGTTGAACTGAATCCTTTATTTCGCTCACTGGGGTTGAAAAAACATATGGCACAGTGGAGAAAGGCATTGGTTAGATCCAGTGACAGGACTCAAAGAGTGTGAGTTCAATACCTAGCTAAGGCGGTGGAGAACTTTGAGAGGGGAATTAACAGGAGATAACTAACACCCATTAGATATGACACGTGGAACTAGAACAGTCTACCCTAGTGAGCGAAATAAAGGGCTCAGTTCAATATTCCAACCACCTGAAGAAGGCCAGAGTGTACAACAGCTGAAATGTGATAAACATGGCGAAAAAGATGAGGACAATAGACTGAATAATGTAAAATAGTGTACCAAACAGTAATATTTTATCAGAGTCTAACCAAACCAACACATAAACAGACTTTGGTGTGTCTGCTGTGAGTAAGAGCATGGTTCTGATAAAATGACTGGGGAAGGCAGTCTCTCAACATAGATGGCATAACTGCTAAACTTAAATTGCAGTTATTGTGCTAATTTGCATGAGAATGGTGATGCTTGATAGTCAAAAAAAAATCATAGTTGATCTATGGTTGCAACTACAGGTACATGACTGATACTTTCTGGTGTTAGGAAGTGCATGGTTAGAAGATTACTGTTTGGATTTGTAACTGTTCAGTTTTTGTTTTTTTTACACTGAGAATATCAATAAAAATATAAAAGATTCAGTTTGTAAACCATTGAAACAATATAACTTATTATACATTCTTGCATCATTTTATCAAACATTTGGAATGCTCTATACTATCTTTTGACAGTATTAACACCTAAACTATCAGTAAATTTATATCTGAGTGCTAGGTATTCTACATGTAAAAAGTTGTACCTACCTGAATGGACGTATTAAGTGTTGAGTTAAGGGCAGCAACAATATTTGAATTGCGGGTCCATTTTCGGCGAAGACCTTTGCCCTGCTCATATGTACGCATTGAAATCAACACGGAATAGGGATGAATCCTTTTAAGAAAGAATAAAAAGTATTTAGTATTTTAGTTTAAGAAAATATTCCAAACCATTAGATGACATTTGACAATATTTTTTGTCACAAACTTACTATGAGGGAAGCATCATTGAAAGAACTATAAATTTCATTATATTGGAATATATATAATGTTTATATATAGACATTGCATGTTTTAGAAACTCCGCCCCCCCCTCAAATATCCTCTGACTAGTGTACAGGATGATTGCTGGAGAATTCATCTACAAAACTTGAGTCAAGACGCTGAAGGTAAACATCAATCAGCCAAGGACAAAATTTATATTTGTATTAATCCTATTTTATATATATATATATATATATATATATATATATATATATATATATATATATAAATAAAATGTTCTGTTTTTAATTAAACAGTATAAATTAAAAATGAACATAAAAAATTGTGATTTTCTGGCCAGCTGAGGAGCACAAATTTTGGTATGAATATTTTTGCTCAACTTTGGTGTTTATTTAAAATTTAAATTTATTGTAATATGAAAGACAATGCTTTCAAATACAATAAAAGGCCCTGCTGTTACATGCTCTTCCACAAATCTTCTTCTGATTTACCCACACCTACTGTCCACCATCAACTGGATGTGACAGCAAAAACACAATTAAAAATCTGTCCTGTACACAGAGCTCTGCACATCATTTCCACTCTCATGACAGAAAAATAATAATAATAATCTATACAAGTTATTAGACATAAGCAATTGGTATTATAACAAGTGTAATATGAGAGACGAGGCTTTCAAATACAATAAAAGACATGTCATTAAAAGAAAAAAATCAAATTATTGAAATGTAAAATTAGTAAAGAAAAAAAATCAAATTATTCCTCTTAAGCAGTGATTCATTTTTTTGAAACCTTTATAAAATTAACCTCTGAATGTATTTGTATAATTTGGCGCTGTATTCTTGCAAGTCGGCTATTTATTGTTGTACAAAAGTGTAATAGTTTTACTTTTTATTTAAATTTTATTCATAGGAAAAAATTTTGATGCAAAACAAAGAAAGATAGATGCCGAATTTTCCAAAATACTTAAACATTAGATTACTTCTTCATCAAGCCAAGTGGGAAACCGCTTTGGCTCATATGTATAGAAAGCATTGCCGTGATTAAGGTATCAAATATTATGTGACATTACGAGACGTACTAATGTGAAAATTTGAGGAAATTCACTGGACAAGCAAGGAAAGATGAAGTTGAGTGATTGAAGTCTAGTTTTGAAAAACATCATTTTTTAAAAAAAAAGAAAAGGCAAAAATGTGGCAAAAACAATTGCCAACTATGAAGTTTCAAAACACATCACTAAAAAGATGAAACTTTTTTACAGATGGGGATTTTTTAAAGTGTGCCTACTGGCAGTGTTGGATATTATTTGTCCAGAAAAAAAACATACTTATTTAAAACTATCAACCTGTCTCCAAGGACGGTCAGATGGTAGGTTGAAGAAATGTCAGCAGATGTTAAAAATCAATTAATTAACACCTGCAATGAATTACAATATATTTCAATTGCAGTTGATGGGAATAAAGACTTAAGTGACATTGTGCACCTTACTGTCTTTGTGCAACAAATGACTTTTCAGATCTTTGAAGAATTATCCATCAAGAGACATTGTGTGACATCTTTGAAATTTATGAATGTTATAGATATTGACACGAAGGCCATGAAGCTGATTCTATCTTATGGATTAAATAAATCATCATCATCATCATCAATTTAAACAGTTTTTGCTAGATATTGAGGCAATATATGGTGACCTTGGTTATTTCTGCAATCTGCTGGCTTAGCCAAAGAGCAATGCTAAAAAGAGTACTTGCCTTATACAAAGAGGTGGTGATATTTTACAAAAGCAAATGTGTGAATAGTTCACATTTTCAAAATCCTGATTGGCTTGCAACTTTGGCAATTATTGCAGATATTGTGACTCATTTAAATAACTTAAATTTACAACTTCAAGATAAAACTCAACTCGTAAATGAAATGTATAACCATATTGTTGTCTTAGAAAAAAAAGGCTACAGTTGTGGGAACAAACTTTGAAATAAAAATTATGTGCATTTTCTATCATTTCAAGTAAGGGATTTAGAGGTATTTGTGAATATAATCCAGGATTTGAGAAATTAATTTGTATCACATTTTGCTGACTTTCATCTGCATGCAAATCAGTTTACATTCTTTGTGCTACCATTTCATGTGGAGACAGTATCAGAATGTTTTCAAATGAAACTGACTGATATGCATTGTGACAACTTATTGAGATCTAAACTTCATTCTAAAGAACTTTCATTGATTGATTTCCACACAAAATATATTTTTCCAAATGGGAAGAATACCAACTTAGTGAATCAAGCAAAAAAGATGGCATCTTTGTTTCGAAGCACTTATCAAAGTGTACAATTATTTTCCAAACTGAAGAAAACTAAGAACAATTTCAGAACAAGATTAACTGATAATCCCCTTGATAATATCTTGCTCTTGGCATCAACAAATTTAAAGCCTAATATTGAGAAGCTGTCAAGGAACAAAAAACATCAAGTTTCCTATTAATTTTTTGGCTGCTATATATTTTTAAGATCTTTTTAAACAAATGATTTCAATGATGTTTTAAATTGAATAAATGATGTTTTTCAATTATTACATTCATCTGTGGTTAATACAAATTATTTTAAGTATAGTCAACACTAGTGATTAAATTTTAGCATATGTAATTTTCCATAAATATTCTTTTATGACCTTCGTCCGGCCCACTATCCATCATTAATACTCAATGTGGCCCGTGAAGGCGAAGAAGTTGCTGACAATTGATCTAAACTATCAACTGATAAAAAATAAAGGAAAGTAGAAAAGGCAAAGTTGATAAATATAACTTTAGGTGGGCAAAAACAGAAAGTAAAACTAAGACAAACAATCTATAGGAAAGATATCTAGGTCAACTGCTGATATATTAACGGTTACTGTTGAAAGCGTCTATCATGCTTTAGGTAAGAATGGTGAAGCTCAGGTTATTTCTTTGGATATCTTGAAGGCATTTGACAGGTATTCTTCACAAGTTGAAATGTTATGGTATTTCTGGACAAATTTTTCATCAAATTCTGAAGATGTCTTCAACAGTAACTCTTCTACATTGTTTTGCATTAAGACAAGTGTCCCCACCCCCAGGGCTCTACCCTTGGACTTGGGTTGTTCCTAATTTTCATCAATGACCTTCCTGATGTCATTAGTTTTCAACTTGGTATCTAATGCTGATGACAACTATTTACTCCTGCCTGAATAGTAAATCTGATCTGTTCAATAAGGTCAAATTGATAGATGATCTCAAAAATGACTTTCAATCTGTTGTTAACTAAGCCAAGAAATGGCTTGTTAATATTTACACCTCTAAAACAAAACAGCTCTCTCTTAAGCAACTGAGAACCTTTTTTGCCTAGCAACAGCATGGCTAATGTTACCACCAGGAGGGGATGTCACTGGATATATATATATATATATATATATATATATATATATATATATTATATATTATATGTGCGGTACTTATTGGAAAGCGTTCAATATCAGAGATAGAGCTAACATATTTAGTTGGATTGATGTGAGTTTGTGACCCTGGGTTTCACACTTTTGCGATCATACATAACTATATTTGCTTTAACAAATTTCTTCTCTCTGTGTAGCTTTGTTGGCCACTGCAAGGCTGGGCTTGTATCACACTTAAGAAAACACAAATGAAAAATGTCTTTCCCTTACCTGACTTTCTATCCACAATAGCCTCTGCTAGCATGCATAAGTGTAAAACGAAGGACATCATCCAATGTTGACCCTCCTTTGTCATTCATGATAGAAGAGCCCACCATACCATACCATTCAGTTGAGCACTCTGGGGAGGAGGTGTGGGTTGGTAAACAGTGACTATTATAGCTATATAGCGAGACTCTTCGCGAAAGCGAATTGAGTCCCTGTTAGTCACTGGGCGTGTTTCTAAAAATAAATACGCTAAAATCCACCTTCGTCCCTACCGTGCGCCGACGGCTTAGTGGTTAGAAGCTCTGACTGACACCAATTCAATCGGGTTTCGATCCTAGCTAGAGGCAACCGGATGTCTAACCACACTGATGAGATGTAAATAGCGAAACAGTTTGTCTGTGGATGACATTATATATATATATATAAACTTTAAGGGGTTAATGTACATTGTAATATTGTATTTCTTTAGGGGAGGGGTTGCAAACTTGAAGGCTGTCCTGATGGCAAAACACTAGCTACATCACTGACTACCACGAGGAGAGTGACATATTACACTTTCTCAGGCTAAGATTTTCCACTGACATAGTAGAAAGTTTATATCAAATCAATTGCTAGGTCTGCTGCTAGAAAAGTTGGTTCCCTGTTTTGTACTAGACAATTTTTTGACCAAAACTTATCTTACACATTTATAAGTCTACCATTTGTCCATGCATTGAATATTGATGTTACATATGGTCTGGTGCATCTGCTATGTATTTAGGGATTCTAGATAAAATACAAGAAAGAATCTGTAATGTTATTGATCCTGATCTGGCATCTCAGCTTCAGTTACTTTCTCACCACTGTAACATAACTTACTTGTGCCTTTTCTATAAATATTTTCATGGTAATTGTTCTGATGAGCTTTCCTCAATGGTACCTAGACTTTATGAAAATAAGTGCAGTACTAGATTGTGGATAAGATCTCATCATTTTACAGTTGAAGTGGCGAGATGTAACCATAAGTTCTATGCTAACAGTTTCTTCTCTTGCACTTTGTGCTTGTGGAACTCTCTTCCAGCTTCTTGCTTTCCATTCAACTTTGATCTTCAAGAGTTTAAGTGCAATGTCATGTTCTTTTATTGTTTTCTTTTTCTCATATTCTCTCACTCAGTAATCCCTTGCATCTTAGTGGCTTTATTGCCTTGATTGATGTGAAATGTTTTTTAAAAAAAGAAGAAAAAAGAAAGTAAATACTAATTGTTGTAACCTAGGGAAGGTTACTGAATAGAATAATCACACAAAGGTTGGTAATGAACAATAATACTTAGGACAAGAACAACACATATAAGATTTCCAAGCAATGCGTAGAAGTAGTCAACTGCTAGAAATGAATTCAAGTGAATTCCACAATGAATCTCCAACTGCAGACCAACATACAGTATTTACTACTGTATTCATGTGAATGGGGACATACCCATTATCATCTGTAGGTATGCTACAACACTAATATAGAAAAACCTGTTAACTGTAGAAATAGTACAAGAAATAATAATGATCAATACAAATACAAATAAATATAATAATCATAACCTATATAATAAAAGAAATGATAATTGTGAATTATTATATTACTTTTAAGCATTATTTATGTTTCTCTCAGATTTGTAATTTTTTTTTTTTGAACTTCAAAAAATCTCATAATCAAATGGACACAACATGATCTTGAACACTAGAGTGAGTTCAGTCATGTGAGTGCACATTCTGCTATAGATGCAGAGTGTTTTTATCAGTTTAATAAAAATGTATATAACTAATTCTTAAGCTGCTCTGCAATTAAAAGATTTCAACATTAAAGTTTTCTTTATTCATATTTATATCCTTTTATGCTAGAAAATCTACAGATACATAAATGAACAGAATGAATTTAATATGAAAGACTTGCACTGAGGATTGTATATCTTTTTTAAATCAAGCACAATACACATTCCTTTTTACCTTTATGATGATCATGTCATCCAATTATATTTAAATACTTATTTAAAGTTTATAAAAGCTTAATGATATCAGTGGAGGTAATGTCTTTTCAGTATTAGTGTTCAGGAGTTAATTTATTTAACTTAAAATTATTGTAAAAATGTTTGAAAGAAAATTACTTTTCAGAAACAATTTCATCAACATTTTGAAGTCTTTCAATCATGTGTTTTGAAGTATCACAGGTTGGTTCTAACAATCCTTGGCTGGCAATTTTGGAGATATGTTGCAACAACATTGACAAAGGTAGTCTGTGTACCAATGTGTTCCACACCTAAATGCAAAAACAAACACAGGGATCAGAGTTAATATAAATTGGAAAAGAAACATTTTATTTGATTCATATATTCACAGAAAAATTAAACTATTTTTTGTAGTTATTTACCTTTTTTTTTTTTTTTTTTTTTTTACCCGATATGCATTTCCTGAAATGGATTAAGAGAATTATATAAATATTTTAGAAGGAATGCCTATTGAAATATATTGAATAAAAAAGATAAAGGACTATTTAGTTAGAAAATCTTACTGAAAACTTTTTCCGATATAGTTTAATTTTTTTTAAAATTTTAGCAAGACAAGTTGATATTTACAAGAAATGAAGTAAATTCAATAAGAGAAAATAGTGTAAAGTATTTAATAAATTAAGAATTTTTTTTTATTTTTTTCAATCTTTATTGAAATATTTTTGGGATGGCGTTATTTTCTTAATATTGTCTAATGTCAAACAGATAATTATAAAAAGACTTGTATAACCAGTTTTTCTTAATTCGGAAATTAATTTTGTTTTTTAACAAGTTATTCTGCTTTGTTCCACCTTTTTAAAATTGTTGACATCTGATAAACTTTCAGAAACATAACATTCCTGAATTTTTATTTTCAACTATCAACAGCTCATTCAACTTTTCCCACTTTTCTTTTAGAGAAAATATCAATTCATGATTAGAGTGTGGAGAAACGAAACTTATCATTCATTTAGAAAATCATTAAGAAAAGAAAGAAATATCCAAACCAACATCATATATAAACTCAGAATTGTCTTTGTCAAACCTTGATCTATTCAAGATGATTGTACTGATTCTTTTTTGTGGTTATTATTTTTTCCTATTTTATAATATTAATGAAGACTACTTAAAAAAAAAAAAAAAGAAATAAAAAGAAAGACCTCATCCCATATGAATAGTCCACTAGGGGAAGGCCATAAAACAGCTTAAGTGAAACATTGTGATAACAATAAAATGAATGAGATCATTACTTCAAACAATTTTTGAAATGATAATGACTCATCTCAAAATTAAAGAATGTGTTTAAGTCTAATGTATGTCCTAATCTTGAACTTCTCATTTGATCCTTCTATTAATTGTAGTGGAATCTCTTGTTCTGACAGTAGTTAGCACTGACCTTTTATTGATTGTCAGCTCAAAATAAAATGGGAAGAATTGTATACAAATATACACTCATACAGATTTTAGCAGAGTTGAAATGATCATATTTGCAATTGAGTCCTATTGCTCTTTTGATGTTGCTTATTCAGAATTTTGTTCAAATCCATGTACACATTTTTATAAATGGTAATTTTGTCAATTTATTAAGTTTTCCAATAAATATCTTAGATTTATCATCCAGAATTGACTTCAGAAAAAATTATTAATCATATAATTAAATCATATTCTAATAGACATAGATTATACAATGTATATAAATCTAATTTGCTAAGATTTAAAAGAAAAAAATCCTTTATATGAATAGTAACCATTTAACTTAAGTAAAGTATTAGCTTTTTTATACATTATAATAGTGTTTATAGTCTTAAATAAAATCTAGAAAATGTGAATATTAGATAAACAAAGGGATACTAAAAAGTTCTCAGCCGGAAAAAAATTAAAAAAAGGGGTGTTTGGTCATTTGTTCAGATTTATAGAAGTGGGTTAGTTTGAGAACTTTTCAGTACTTGTATTTCTGTCAAAAAGGTCTAAAAAGAAAAGTTAATGAAAATGACAGCTTACTTCAAAAGAGTTGAGGTGTATACTGGGAACATGTTCATATGAGAGCTGATGTTGCTCAATGAGACGTGCTACTTGTTGTTCATCAGTTGAATGTTTTAAAGTGTCCACGGCTTCAAGGTAGTCAATTAATTCCCGCAGTTGACCAATAGCACTGCCATCACTGTCAAACTCAGACTTGGCCACCTTCAAACCTTTGATCACATATTTTAAAACTAGGGCTACACCTAAAAAGAGAATAAAAAAAAGTCTTCAGATTGAATGAAATGTATTTTTTCATAATGATAACATATTTTCTAATACTGTAGTTTTCAGTGATATGAACTTCTAAGACAGAATATTGTATAGATTTATGACAAATTCATAATAATTAATAATAAATCCTGGTATATACAAATTTTGGAAAACTTTTAACAAAATTAATTTTGTATATGGTATACATTTCAGTAAAAAGTGTGAAATTGTTGTTTTGTACATTGAAAAATAAATTAAGTAAATAAGCTACATATTATTATTATTATTGATGATGATAGAAAAGTAGCTCTGTGATTATTCTATCCGGAAACAAGAAAAATACCAAAAGAATCACATCAAATATAAATTCGAAACATGTCTTCATATTAAAACAAACTGAAAATGTTTCATCTTAGAAAAAGTGCATTAAGAAAAAAACAATTTTATTCTTAGCAAAAAGTGAATGGATTTAACAGAAGGCTGTTTTAAGAAAAAAAATTAATACCACAAATGGATTTTATTTTTTTTATAAATAATATACTTTGAAATATTTTTTTAATCAATTCACCTCCAATCAAGGTAATAATGCCACTAAGATGCAAGGGACTACTGGAAGTGAAAGTGAATGAAAAGACTTTAAAAGAAACACGAAACAAAGGATAAACCTCTATTCCTATTCAAAAGATCAGGGAATAGTATTTATCAGACAACAGGCGAACCTCTCTACTCCTATTGAGGGAAATAAAAAAAATAAATGAATAAATAAAATTTCAGAGTTTACGTGGAGACATTGAAGTAGACTTTAGAAGGAACCAGAAACCCAATCCTAAACAGGAAACAATAAAGCTACAATATGAAGAAGTTTCAAAAGTTACTGATGATAAAAGGCTAAGAATGATTTCTCATTTCAATAAACATAAGAGAATATATATATATATATATATATATATATATATATATATAGGAAAATGATAAATGGCCTTTACAAAATAAATCAATCCTAAAAGAGGAAAACTGAAAATTTGCTACTTTTATAAATAAAATGCTTTCACTAAAAAAAAAATGTTGATCTAGTGGGTATAATGCTCCAGGTTCGATTGTCAGTAGTCGATGTGCACTGCTGATGAAAATCCAAAAACAGGACGAAACAGCTGTCCAGTGCTTTCTGTATTCTGCTGAGGATTCTTCTAGACTCAATGAATTAATCATGATTATTGAAATCCTCCTAATAATATATATATATATATATATATATATTGTGTGTGTGTGAACAGATAGATAACTACATGTAGTGATACACTTCCTTTCTTTGTATTGAGACTAATTTTAAAAAAAAAAAAATATTGCGAGTAATTTCTTAAACATTTATCTTTATAAAGTACAAAATACAGTATCTGTAAATTAACTTGAGTGCAAATTGCTTGTTTAGATTTGTTGACAAATGAGTTAATTGAAATTACTGAGGAAAAAATCATGAGGCATTTTTAACCAATGCTTTTTTTTTTTTACTTATATTACCAAACAAGAGAAAAAGTAAAAGTAAAATAGTACTGTAATTGATATTTCACACTCAATTCTGGTTTCTCCATTTAAAGGATACAAGAAAATTTCTGAAATACTTTGGTGATTGGCTATATCAACTTTACATGCTAGAAAAGTTTTATTCCTCTAATAAATAATAAAAGAAAAAAAATCTGATATGACACAGCTACTTTGTTATTTCAGACAGGTTGGCTAGAGAGTAACAAAGTAACACATTTTTTCCCTCCTGATTAACTCTTTCATGAGCTTGCTTGGAGAGATGAATGTAGGCATGTATCTTCACCCACATGCATACACACACACACACATATCTCTGTAGAGACAGAGAAGCAAATTATATAGAAACACAATATGCAAGCAACATAAAAAGACATATACAGATTAGATGTTGATGCATATTTATTAGTTATGGATGTAAATGCAAACACTTTTCGATGTATCTACATGCCTACACAGTGCATGGGTTCTCCAGATTTGGAAAGTTGCTATTTTATAATCCTGCAGCCATTGGCTGTACATTCCACTGGTGAAATTGCCCACTGCATGTTCTTTTTTTTTCCTTTCCTCTTTTTTTTTTTTTTTTTTATAACAATGGAGGTCAACTCTGTATACATTGACTGCTGACTGACTGATCAGAAATGGAGGAGAGAAAAAAAAAAGGCAAGAAGATATTTGAAGGGAGAGCGAGGACAAAGAAATCAACCTTGTAAGCCCCTCAAATTGGCAATCAACAGAGCTAAAACTGTTGCCAGCGGTAGGAAAGCAAGCATTTATCTCAAATCTACACAGGTGACACAATCTATGAAAAATGAACAGGTTTTGTTTGCTTTGCTAACCAAAAATAAAAATTGGAAAAAGGAAAATAGTTTTCTTGACTTGTGCTTGTTGCAATAAAAAGTATTTTTAATACCTGGATATTATTGTTTTTTAGGTACAACTTAAAATTTTGAAAAAGTAAAAACTAAAATGGTAAAATAAATTATTTGATTTGATAATTGTGTTAAAATTTTTGTCAGCAGTTTTTTTTTTTTTTTTTTCAAATTTTGTTACATAGAAAGAATAAAATTTTTGTCAGCTTTTGTTACATAGAAAGAATAAAAATAAAATTGCCAAAACTTTTTTTGGCATAATACGGAATTACATCTCTCAAAATTGTTTTTTTTAACCAAGCTTCTAAAGACGAATACAAATTAACTTGTGATCAATAAAAATTTGTAAAATGAAAATAAAATAAATAAATTTGTTTTTGTAGAAATGAATTATATATTCAATTTAAAATACTCTTTTCATTCTATTTCTGATGCGAGAATTTGTATCAAAATGTAGAAAAGGGCCTTATTATAAGGCTCATTTTGATATGGACATATTTTTTTTTATTATTTTCATTTTAGAAAATCTTATTGATTACAGAAGTTCAATTAATTTCACTCTATATGTTGGGAATCATTATGTTTTTAGAATATGTGACTAGGTAAAGTGATACCAGGGAGATTATTCATTATTTCGTATGCAAAAGATGTTTCAGATGCCAAAATAGATGATAACTTTTTTTTTTTTAGTTTAATGAAAAGGTTTATAAAGTTTTCTTTTCTGAAAATACATTCTCATTAAAACTGAATTGTGAAAAGTTAATTTTTGTTTTTTGGCCATAAAATTATTTGCAGTGCAAATGTCGTATCTAAATAATCAGCCAATTAATTTAGTAAATGATTATTATTTACAGTTGGACTAAATCTCCTTATTTTTGTTAATACAGTCACAATGTTTTCAACTGTTGTGCCTTCTGTCCTTCTTCAGGTGTCTGTTGATCCAGGGTAACCTTCAATAAATTTTGATCTGAACCATTTATTCAATTTGCATGATGGAGGTTAAATTGTTCTCAATCTGCTGTGTCCATGTCTAAGAAAAATCCTGTCTTGGTGAACTGCTTAGTCTTTCTTGTAGTGTTTCCATTGAGTTTGAGTATATTTAATTATTTGTACTATGCAGCCATGGTCTTGATGATTGATTTGTGAATTTGGTTGCATTGTAATTGTAAGTTTAAATTACTGGGCTATGTGCCACATCCCTTCAGGACATAGGCGATCATGGCTCTCCACAACTTCCTACCTCTTGTGGCTCTTAGCAATTTTTCTCCCTTTTCTAAGGCCCCCGCCCCTTGTATCATCATCCATTCACACAAGGTTGTCAGGTAAATGCCTTCCCCTATCTCCCTTGCCCTAAATATATTTCATGAGCCCACCTTTCTCATTATATGTCCAAGGAATTTCAGCTATCTTTTCCTGATTCACATTATAAGTGTTCTTTCTTTTGCCATTTTCTTGTTGATTACTTTCTCTGCCAGTCAAAATTTTCAATATCCTTCTATAGAACCACATTTCTGCTGCCTCAAGTTTTCTCCTTGCCCAGCATTCACTGCCATATAAAAGTATGGATAAGACAGAACTTTAACACTTTTTTCTTTGTTTCTAACAAAATTTTTTCTTGTTTCTTGGCACCTTGCTTAGCTTTTGGAATGCTTTTTTCACTAGTTCAATGTGTGCTCAGATCCAAGTGTCACATTTTCTATGCTCTGTTAAAATATTTCCCAGATATTTAAACTTCTATACCGGCTTGGTGTTTATATCTACAATTCATAACTTGCTTTGGGCTTTTTCTTTTGCTAATGATGATAATTCCTAATCTTAAAAATTCAGACAATTTTTTTTTTTAACTTCTGTCAACAATTTTCATGCAAAGCTGAAGTCATTCAATAGTTTTCTTTTGGGAGAATTAAGAAGACAGTGTAGCTTCAAGTATATTACATACAGATATCACTTGTATTTTTAAAGAAAATAGAAGTTTGTGAGATAATTTATAAAAATCATGTATATATTAGCTCATACATAATTTTGGATAATTACCACATTCAGTAAACTTAGGAAAAATTGCATCTTTTATAGTAATAGCCAAGAGAGAGAGAGAGAGAAAATTATATACCAGCATCAATGGAAGACAAATTTAAAATCTGTTGCATACAAAATAAATGATGCTAAAGCATGAATAAGTTATCCTTTGTTTTTATATCCAATCAACATTGGAAAAACTTTACATAATTTACTTAACATCCATCAATTTACTTATGCTTAAATAAGTGCAACTAAACTTTTTTTTTAAAAATTCATACCTAAAGTCAACTACATTAGACCAGATTTTATTATGCAAGTCATTTTTTTTTCACAATAAAATTGATATTAACCAAAAAAATGCTGGTAAAATTTTCAGGATGTATTTATAGTTATATGAAAAATATCCCATGTGATATTTTAGCTCTATCCTTATTAAAAAATACTGATACCCCACCCCAAAACAAGTTACCAATTTTTATTATACAAACAAACCAAATGCAACATAATTTATATATATATATATATATATATCAATGCAAAATTTATAAGCCAGAGAAATATATTTAATTATCACAGTCTCCCATATAATTCAATAAATTGTTATTTAATTATTTTACATATTAATATAGACTCCTTGACATTCTGTAGCTTTCATCATTGATTTTGATAACTTTTCTAATGTTTGAAATTTAACATGACCAGTTTTTATTGTTTTCCAAAAAACATTTTCTATTCTCATATAAATCTTTTTAATGATAGAACACATTTTATATTGGATTAATATCTGAAGAAACTGTGAGTCATTCCATTAATTAAGTGCCTTGTAAATCTTTTTTGACAAGTCAGATTTACAGAATGTGAAGGTGTATGAAGATACACTTTGGTTTTACACTTTTTGGTTATGATCAGTAACATTCAAAAAATGTCTTGTTTACATTCAACACTAGAAATAATTATTAAAAAATAGTTTTCATGTACTCCTTTTTCAAACTCACATGTTTCTCTTTGTGATGTTTACTTAAAGGTGTTTGTTTTCATATCTTCAGCCATTGTTCTTAATATTTTGCATCTTTTTTTCATCTTGTTTAAATATGAAATACCAACTTCTTCAAATATTTTCTTGCTGGTTAATCCATTTTTTGGGCTTATTAACCTTTTAATTTTTTTTTCTAATCTCTTTTTGTAACATTGTTAAAACTGTTTTTCCTTTTTTTTTTCATTTATTTTTTTTTTTTAAATTTCTAACACTATATTCCCATAATTTGATAACTATACAATATCTTGTTTCTCAATTGAAATTATTATAACTCATGGCAATCTTTATATATCTGAAATTTAAAACTAAATATCAGTAATTATATGATTATGTTTATTTACATTATGATGAGTAAATCTTGAATTGCATAATATGTCAACAAATAAGTTATTGTAAATATTTTTTAATAATACTATTATTAAATTATGAAATTCAAATAAATATAACTATTTCCTGAAAATTTAACCAGGATTGATTGGTTAATACCAATTGTGAAAATTTTGATTTGCATAATAAAATTTGACATTGAATCCTCAAAGTCACTTGAATAACAACATATTGAGCTGACAGTCAACTCTTATAATTTTGCAAACAAAATGTCCTTGTGCCTGAACATGGAAAAGAGAACGTCGGTCTGACAGAAGTCGTTAAGTATTATAATTAAATCAAAAGGGGTGGAGAAAAACATACAAAAATGGGCTTAGCCAGTCAGTAGTTACAAGACACTAAAGTGCTTATTAAGCCAAGCCATTAGCCTAAATATAAACCCTTTTATTACAATTGGAACTTGAAAGTAACATTCACTAATAACCTAGACATGTTTTTTCTTGTTTTTTCATTGATTTTACTTAAAATGGCATCATCTTTCATAGCTTAATAAAAATGTCTAATTTAAACAGTAGAAGTGACAAAAATATGTACATAATATCAAGTCATGAAGTATTTCAAATTCATAATCAATTTAAAAAATCAGACAATACAATTTAGTAAAGCTTCCTTCTTATATACTAATGTCAATCAAGAGAAAATATTTGAAAATTAAATACATGCAAATACAAAAATATTTAAAATTCATGTTTTAAACTAAAATGAATTTTCATTGCTTTCCTTTAAACAACTGAATAAAATAAAATCTGTATTTCCATCCTGAAAATTTAACAGGAACGTTACAATTACTCTGGTGAAAATATCTTGAGTTTTGGAAAAAGAAAAAATAGATGAGATATCTCTACAAACTTCTAAAATATATATTCAGAAAAAAAAAACATATCTTTTGAAATATTTTTAATCCAATTAAAGCCATTGTTTATACAGTGCAGTGATTAGTATGTCTTTACTGCATTATGTCAAATGTGTTTAAATAAGAAACTTAACTCCTGGTTATTTTTTTAAATGTATTCTCTGAAAAATATTTTAAGTTTCTAATCATGTATTCATATTCAAAAGTGAAATTCCATGTGATCTGAAAATCTAAATACCATCCTTGACTATTATAGCGACAAATTACAAACCAAATAAACTACTAAGTAGATATATATGTTCTAATAGTAAAGCTCTCAAATTATAATCTTTGATTTGACAAGAGTACAACATGCATTGAACAGAAAGATATAAATATTTTGATCTTGGCTCAGAAATTAAGTTTTTATTGTACACTATGAACAAATGAGTTACTTTCTTTTGTTTTTGTTGTATTTTAAAACTAGACTAGAATTACACATCATTTTCTGTATTTCCCTCAAAAGGAAAAAAAGGAATATGAATATTATAAAATGTATTTTAACAAAGATAACTAATCTTACTAATTTATAAAGGTGTCATTAAATTGTTGTATTTAACTGCTTATTAATATTAATTAGAAAATTGATTTAAAATGTCACTAGTATAAGTCTCCTTTTAATATCTCAAAGAAAATTGGCCAAAAATTCACAAAATGCATTGCAAAAAAAATATCTGCTCTCAAAAAAAAAAAAAAAAGAACTTTTTTTGTTAGAAAAAATTATAATTGTATTGTATTCCATTTTGATCATCAAAGCTTCTGTAGACAAAAGCAATTAAGGTGATGTCCAAAGACGGGCTCCTGAAATGTGTGATATGGGTGCAAAATTTGTTGTAAACTACTTCTTTATTTTTCCTTGTTTGCTCTTGTGGTCCAAGAATATATCAACCCAGAGTGTTGTGATGAAAAAAAAAATGGATTAAAACTAGTAATAAAATAATAAGTGAAAATGCATCATCTAAATTTTTTAAAAATGTCAAAATAAATCTTTGGCAACAAATAAACAAGATCATTTTCCTCTTATTCCTCTCCTCTTTAAAATGATGTTATTCTTAAGAGCAATAAAGATATTAAGAATTATTTTAACAGAACTGAGTATACATTGCCTAGAAGAATAAAAGTAATAAGTTAAGAAGTATTGTAAAATTCTTTTCTTGGCAGAAAAGATAATCTATGTTAAGTTTAAGTATCATCACTGTCTGTGGAGGATGAACAAAAACAAATGCCCATCATCTTGTGGCTGGCAACTTGTCAGCTTCTGCATTGCACCACAAATTCTTTTTTACTTGCAAAATTTCTTCTCAATTCATCCATTCTGTCAATCATTTGAAAAGAATGAAGTGATTGATAGGAAGGAAGAAACAAATAAAATCTTTGGCATTTGTATTTCTTTCACACTTGTCAACTCCATACAGGTGTAAAATTGATTACAAATCTCATAAAATACTTAACATTTTTATACTTAAGTTGTAAGTTGCATAATTCTACACTTGAAATACCCAATTAGTTGGCAAGTTTAGTGATCCTTAAAAGAAAAACAAGGTCATTTTTTGAAAGAAAACAAGAGATATTTCTGTAGGACTGTTAAACAGACAGAACATTAATAATCTTATAAATAGCATAAAAGCCATAATGTATTACTGGCATTGATGATTGAAGAGCAAGCTGCTTCAATGACAGTAAACATTTGGTATAAAGAAAAATAGATTTCTCACACACAGATAAAAATTTGGGGTTATTGGCAACTTTTTTTTTTTTTTTTTAGAACCAATGCTTATCTAAAGAACTATCATTAGAACATAACCAAACTTTCAAATTTATTTTGAGAAAATATTTTATATTCTAATCAACTTTCATACATAGGTTACTAAGTAATTTATTTATTTTGTAGTCTTCCACAAGGATTATAACCAGTGACAGATTTACCTATATGCTTAGCAGACTGAAGCCTGGGACCCTACAGCCAAGGTGTATAATATTTTTGGCTTTATAAGCTTTTCTTACACATGTTGTCATAACGCATTGTAGACTCTAAATAACCCTTCAGTAATTTTAAATACCTGTCATCATCTTCGGCTTTTATTCAAATTGTTTAATTTAACACTCTTCCATTTCCTTCTGTTTGTTAGTATAGGGGATTTGGAGGGGCCCCACAAGTGGAATAGCCTAAGACTTTTCTTCATCTAAATCCAGCCCTGACTATAACAAATAAAATATAAATTGTTGTAGTATTTTAGCTATTGCAATAGTATTATTCACTACAATGTTCTTTTAATCTTGTCTAGTAAAAAAAAAAAAAATTATCAAAATTCACAGTTGAACATGTTTTCAGATATTTTTATGACTTGTTTCATCATATTTTCATTAAAATGAATATAAATTCATTTATTTTAAGTTAAATGAAACTAACCATCTTTAATTTGAATTTCTTTTGATCATAAATATCACTATTATCATTGGACACATGTCTTATTGTTACCAAGATAGCCTTACAGATTGTTGCAGGAAGTTCAATATCAACTGGGTGCTCAAATTGTCACTATGTGTCATATAAAGCTCATTTTCAACACACACACACACACACACACACACACACACAATCAATCAAATTCTTATTTATAAAATGACATGGAAACTAAAAAAAATTAAATATTTGTAATAAATACTAACTGGCAAATCTTTTAAAATACAAAATTTCTATAACTTATGAAAATAATTATTTTTTAATTTGCTATTGTTTTCAATCATGTTGATTTGAGTTTTTTTTTTATTTTTTCTAATACAGACATTTTTCTCCATTAGTGTATGCAAAAATATACAAAATTTTATCCTAAGTTTTTCTTTGTAGCTACAAACCAAAGTTAAAGTATTTATAATATTTATTTTACATATCTATAAAAGTAAAATACTACACAAGGTCTTCTTTCAACCCAGCCAGGCAGCCAGGGTTAAGATGACCTCATCAAACTGTCGGCAAATTCAGTGTGTTTTAATCATCAGCTTTTGCTGAGATAAACTATTTTATTTTTGTTTTATTATTATCATTTTATACAGAAGATGGCAACAGTCAAATATTTCTTTCCAAATGTGAGACCCTGATCATATTTTAGTCTTTCCGGGTTTTCTAAGCATGAGCATGAAAAAATACATGATCATAAAATAACAGTCATTATCCTTAAAACAGAAGAGAAGTTGAGAATAACAACAGTGGGGAAAGTTTTTTTTTTACTGCATATAATTATTGCTACTGTTGCTACTGCACAAATCACACATTCCTGCCCACTTTCTCCAGACATTTCTTTTATGAAAACTTTTTTTCTGCTTCCAGTATGCCACTCACAACTTTAATAAAAAAATACTATTTCAAGAGAAGAGTAATTATTTTTTCCTTTTTATTTCATTGTACTTACATATGCATGCATGCATATGACAACTTAAATAGTAAGTACAATGAAATGAATGAATGTATGTATGTATGTATGTATGTATATGTATATATATATATATATACACACACACACACACACACAATTCATTAGGGTTGTACTTGAGCACATGCACTACAGCCATAGCAGCAATGGTATGTCTAGGGCAAGATAGCCTGACAGAACCTATCCCTCTCCAAGTTGTTTTTGAATTTAAAATTTTCCTTTGTTAACGAATAGCATAGACTTTCCAAAAAAAAAAAAAAAAAAAAAAAAAAGTCTCCCAACTACCATATCTGCTCACTTCCACTTCCAATTTTTCTCTCCCCTTCACCACTGTTGTATACCGCCTTTTAAAGTGGGTGGTCGTCCTCATATGCAAATGACCAATGTTCATAAAAAGGCTCAACATCACACATGCACCTTGGACTGCTTGGTGGTTTAGCAGGCCAGACACCTTGTGTGCTTTGGATCAGGTAAGTGTGAATATCTATCGTCACACTCCTCTTGATCATATGATCACACAGGTGACAGTGGGGAGCTGGTTGTTTCACGCTAGCACTCCTTTGCAGTAAGACAAGAACTTCTTCCCAGGCATACTGGGGCCTGAAGCAAAATCTGCAGAATGAGAAGACTCACTAAAGGTCAGTCCCATCTCTCCCCACCTCTCTCAGATGGGGTGTCACTGCTGTCTGCACTGAAGCCTGATTCTTGCCATACATTACTCCATGACGATGTGTCACCATCATTGTCTATTGGCAGCCCCAAACAGAGATGTGTGATACACGTCTCCCATGTGCTGAGGCATGCCATCGATGACCACCAACTGTGAACTGATTAACCCAGTAATGCAACCTGGTTTAAATTTCAACGTGCACCATCCCTGTGGATTTTTCATCCAGACTGAGTCTCCCTCTCAATACAAAGCCGACATCCCATGGTGATCAGATGGGGGCACAATATCTATTCCTTTCAATCTGGTATGAATGCAGCAGATTGCTGGGCACAGACCTCCATGATAGGGCAGCTCTTCTACACAGCAAACCATTTTACTGTCTGATGACACCTCTCTATGATACCAATTCCAGACAGAATTTGGGCTGGCCCCTCGGTTGCCACCCCACCCCACACCCAATACACTATTCTAAATTTTGTAGAGGAAAAAATCAGACCAGACATATTACAATGTTCTGCTAGTATTGACGTTAGTATTAACCCTTTGATTTTGTTTTGAAGTTAACCTCTCTTGTTGTCTAACATTTTGAGAGTGGAAAAGAGGGCAAGAAGTGATTAGAACTCCACTACTTTGAATGAAAAGTTATTTTGTTTAATTTAATGAAGTAACATAGTTATATTAAAACTCATCCCTAAGTTGTGTATGATAGTGGTGTAGTATGAAAATAATGATGCTGCTTGAATTTGCCCCCCTTCTCTGCAGAAAAATCTCAGCCCCCAAGTGGTCCCTCCTATTTTCAGAGTTCCAGAATTGCCATTGGTCACATCCTTTTTAGAGTGTAAGAGAGGCTGGTCAGTCCTGCAATTTAACCCGTACGAAAGGACAGATTCATGGTTTTCCCAGGGGTATTTGTGCAAAAGGGAATATAATGAACTTGGCTGGAATTTGAACTCAACTTGCTTGTTAATTTCTTTTTCCACATTACTGTTACACACACTGGCATATATATATACATACAGAGGCATGACACACACACAAATATATATATATAAATATATATATATATATATATATATATATATATTGATGCATGTTTCATTAAACAATATAGACAAGTTTTGTCTATTTATTTTAAGTAAATTCCTTTCATATTGTCTGATAAGCTTAATAACATTATCATTGAAAGACGAAAGAATATCACAATATTGATACATGCTTTTTAATCCTATCTAAGCTTTCAGCTTACATAAGCCATTATCAAAGACGACAATTAAATTTCAATATATTAAACAATACACAGACAAAACAATAATGATAGTCTGTTTTTGTTGCATGAAAGATACTTAATACTTCTCACGTGGTCATGTATGACGTCACAAGCTGCGGTATGATTTTTGCTTCCACGTCTCGTATACACAAGTTTGTCATGGCTTGGAAATCTTTCATGCAACAAAAACAGACTATCATTATTGTTTTTTCTCTACTGGACCGTTACCAATGAGAAATAGTTAAATTGACAACAAATCAGTCAAACTGGTTTTTAGCTCCAAAACAAGGCCTTCATTAATACAAAAAGTTTTGTCATACATTTAATAGAAAAATTTTAAAAATTATTGAACACTTTTTAAGAAACAATAATTGCAAAATTTTATTGTTAACAATCTGAGCTGATCAATAATGCATTACACTTAAAATGTACAACTTTTATTAAGAGAGAAGATATCATTCTCTAGTATTACAATACAAAACTTAATTCAAGAAAACAAACCCTGAAGAAAATTGTCATTAAGCTGGGTGGGTGGGGGATTTTTTTACTTCTTCCTCATTTGGATTATCATTTATTTCAATTACTTAACCTTTTCTTCTATGATTGTTAAGAGACATGAGTTTTCTTGGACTCATCCTGGCTATGACGATAAACTATATCTGGCAGCAAGGAATTGGAGATTTTGAGGAGTGTGGAACCACCTCTTAACTGCTGTTATTCTGAGGAATACCTCGACCCAGGGTGAAAGCACTTGTTAGGGGCCCAGCTGTAGTGAACCCTCAAACAAAAATCAACAGTACATTTTTATAATAAAATGACCAACAATACATTTTTAGCAAAATGGCGCTGCAACACAACAAATATAAAAATAAATTTTTATAGTAAAATTACCAACAATATATTTTATACAAACTATATATCTAAATAATACACCTTTACACTGAAAGTATAAAATTATGTACAAAATATCTGTAGTTGAAAGCATAAAAATTACATATAAAATATTTAGATTTCGGTATTAGATAACCTATAGAGCTTGATACGTCACTAAACAAAATCAACCAATGAAAATGACCACCAATACCTATTTAAATTAAAATGACCAACAATAAATTTTATCTGTAGTTAAAGGCATACAATTGCACTCAAAATATATTTAGTTGAAGCCATAAAATTGTGTTCAAAATATTTAGATGCTGGCATCCATAGAAGTTGATATGCTACTAAACAAAATCAACAAACAAAAGTTTGCTTGGGATTGATAGTGGAGTGGTTTCTCTAGTTAAGCTGTTTGTTGACTCATCTAGAGTTCTTCCACA